ATCAATTGATAGTTAAATATATTTATCATATTGATTCAGGCGCGTACGCAGGAATTTGGTCTGGGGGGGGGGGTAATAAATTTTTTTAAGAAATAATATTTTTAATTAAAAATACTAAGCATAAATTTATTAGGATTAATAACTTTTCTAATACACAATTTTAAACTAATGTGAATTAAAAAAATTATATATATAAACCGGCATTTAAATGTGAATCATAAAATATAAAGTGAATATAACCCACGATATGAATCACTTAAATGACCCAAAATTGAAATTTGAATTTTTTGAGCTTTTAAAATATATAAAGTATAAAAAATTTAAATGTTGTAAATATAAATTAATACACAAAAAGTTTCTTAGGAATAATTGTATTTTGTATGTTTTGAGCTAATTTTTCAATTATCAATCCTTGCTTGGCGTTAAATGTCTATGAATATTCAAAAGATCCAAATCCTTCAATCTACTTTCAGATGTTGTATTTCATAGGTATGTTTTTCACAGACTTGCAGGCCCGGCCCCCGAATTTTAATTTTTTTAAATATACCCGGGCCGGGCTCGTAATTTTTTTTTAAAAAAACACCCGGGCTGGGCCTGAAAATTTTTTAAGAAAAAATATCCGAGCCGTTGTATATTTTAAAACCAAATATTTTAAATCGCCATTATTAGCTATAAATATCAAAAATAAATATAATTTATTTTAAAAAATTCGGGCTGGGCTAGCCGGGCCGGGCCTGAAAATTTTTTTAAAAAAAACCTGGGCCGGAAAAAATTTAAAAAAAAAATCTGGGCCTGGTTCTGCAAATGGTACCTCTGCAAGGCTCTGTTATTCTTCTTAAAAAAGTGAATGTTCTCTCATTAGTTTACTAAAGAGCTGCTAATATATATATAACCATTTTAATAATTGGGAGTATAATCTAAAATGTGTTTGAAATAAAAAGCATCCATAGCATTTTTTGGGACTGTATCAACCATAGTTAATCTTTTAATCATAGTTATTCAGCTAATTAGGCATCATAAGATATTTTAACATCTTCATGATAAAAATATAACAAATATTTATATTTTTTTTCTATCACCATATGAAAAAGGTTGGGAGAGGGGACATTTGTTTTATAATACTCTTCTACTTATCCTATATTAATGTTTTGATGATGAGCTTGCTTGCTGCAAGTCGAGGGGGATAAATATTTAACACGTATAGCTCTGCTTTTGACTCAACAATAACATATAAAATATGAAATTCTTCAACAACACTAGCTCTATTTCCTTGAGTTCTAATAAAATGCTCTCCGCTATTCTCATCTTCTTAATCAAGTCAATGTTATGTTTTTGAAAAGTATTACATAAAATACTTGTATAATTAAATAATACATTCTAATGAGAAAAAAAATTTGGAATAAGTATTGAATTCAATAATTTTCTTGCTTCTGAGGAAATATTTCTTTCAAGCCATTGTGATATTTCAGTAATAGCATTAATAATCAGCTCTTCTAACTCCAAAATAGCTGTTACTCTGGCGGAGACTCGATCTCGTTGGACAAGTTTGCAATTTTTTTCTCCCTGTTGGACAAGGAGTTTCAGAGATAATTATTATTTTATTAGAAATTTAGATAAATATTACGCCACTAAAATTTGAAAATAATAGGTAAATTACGCCAAGGAAAACTTGAAATCGAAATTGATTGATAATGTGATAAATGTAATTAAATATATATATATATGTATATATGAGATAAGAATAAATATTAACAAATATAAATTAATATTAACAATAATATTTTTGAAAAATATAATCCGGCATCTGCATTTTTTGGCTTTGGGGGGGGGGGATTTGCCCCCCTGTCCCCCCCCCCCGCTGCGTACGCGCCTGTATTGATTCCTTTAAATAAATTGTAATTTACACCCTTCTTTTGTGTGGTATAATCTTGACTTCATTTATAATTGAATTTTCTTTGCTTTTGGGAAAAAGTGTAAAATTAAATTTTTATCCACGTCGATGTTAGTTATATGCAAAAAATCCAGAAAGTATTTTTAATCTAATTACCTTCTCTCTACAATAATATCCAAAACAGTAATCGGTACTTTAGTATTAAAAATGTTAAAAATGAAGCATATATTTTTTAATGTTTACCTAATAAATTTTAAATAACTAATAAAAGTTTAAATTTTTAAATCGGTCAGCACTTTTAAAATTAGATGGAAGGGCGTAGGCTAAAACCCAGCTTGTTTCAGCAATTATTTTAAAGATCTTAAAATTAACGATTATATTAATTGTCATGTCACATCCTCATTTAAATTTTAAATTAACATGTTTACAATTTATTTTACTCTGTTACTTCAAAAAAGTTAAAAAAATAATGATTATGAGAATTGTCACTTATCTATGGTATATCTTCACTGAAATTTTAATATAACATGTTTACAATATATATTTTTACCCATTTGCTTCAAAAAATTTCAATAAAACCTATAAATGACAATTATGACAATTGTCACTTTTCTATGGTACATCTTCGCTTAAATTTTATTTTAACATGTTTACAATATATATTTTTACCCATTTGCTTCAAAAAATTTCAAAAAAACCTATAAATGACGATTATGACAATTGTCACTTTTCTATGGTACATCTTCACTGAAATTTTATTATAACATGTTTACAATATATATTTATACCTTGCTTTAAAATAATTTTAAAAAAGTTCAAAAATAACGATTTAAAATTTTAACCTGTTCCTTCAAAGAAAAAGAAATTCAAAAAAAAATATATTAAAAATAACTTATATATAACTCATATAGTTATTTTAATGACAAATTCTCACTTTACTTCTTTTTGTTTATCTTCTCTGATTAGTCGACTAAATTAGTCGTTTTAGTCGACTAAATTAGTCGTTTTTAGTCGACTAATTAGTCGTTTTTAGTCGACTAAATCGACTAATTTGGTCGCTAAAGTTTTTAGTCGGACTAAAACTATTAGTTAGCCCTCTGTTAGTCGACTAAATTTAGTCGATTAACAACACTAATCTGAACCATAACTGTAACCTAACCGATATAATTATTTTTTGAAAGAGTAAAAACAGATTTGTTAACGCTCCTTTTTAAAATTAGCTAGCTCCCGCTACCGCTCCTACCTTCTCAAAAGTAGCTAGCTCCCGCTCCCGCTACTACATTTTTAAAAGGAGCTAGCTCCCGCTCCAAGTAATGGAGTGCCACTCCATAACCGCTCCTTTGATTTTCATTTTTTAGAAGTTATACAGAACAAAATGATATTTTTTTTTATCAAAAAGCTTTATTTATATTAAATGATCTATCAAAATATTTATAACCTTTTATTAGATTTTAAAAGTAATAAATTTTCTAAATTAGAATCTAACAAACATCCACGCCTCTCCCCTAATACCGTTTTGCAATACTAAATAGGCACTCCACAGTAGCACTAGAGGGAAGCGAGGTATTGTATTTAATAAAGATATTTTTTAATTCAGGGAATTTATCAAAAATATTAATTTTGGTATTTTAAAAAATAGTCCAATATATTATCTTCCTAATGATCAATTTCATGGAATTCAAAAAAATCTTCCAAATCAATTTGTATTTAAAGGAAAGATATTTTACTTTTAGATGCTTTTTAGATTGAAGCTGCTCACTTTTGAATATCAAATAGTTTTATTTATACACAAAAGACATTTTGCCCTTAAATTTGTTTGATCATTTGGATCAACATCTTTTAGAAGTTTAAAATGATGGAAATGGAAATTCGATTTCTTCATCTATGATCAATCCATAATATCTAAAACTATTTTTTATTATTTATCTATAAAATGAATATTAATATGACTTACAAGATTTTCCAATAAATTTTCAATATAAAAAGGAAAACTTGATGTTTAATATTTAAAATGATTAGATGAAAAACCAATATAATACTCGGCTAAACATTTAATAATGGATAATTATTGAATTTTAATTAATAAATATTATTAATATTTAAAAAATAATTTAATTTATACATTAAATTTAAAGAAGCGGTGGAGCGTCGCTCCTCCACACCAGCCCTAAAAGGAGCTAGCTCCCGGTCCCGCTCCCCAATTTTAAAAAGGAGGGGCCAGGTGTTTTTGGAAAAATGTAGCGCCGCTTCTTAACAACTCTGAGTAAAAAGAACCTTTATAAAAAATGGTTAAACCGGTTCAGTTTTTATATTTTAGAAATGGAAATAATTTGAATATCCAGAATTATATAAACGTGCTCTTATAGTACTGGCGGTTCCCGCAACACAAGTTACTGTGGAAAGGGCTTTTTCGGGGCTAAAATTTGTGTTATCGTCACAACGAACAAAAAGGAATCCATTTATACTTGAAAATATATTACTTATAAGTTCAAATAATATATTTAAAATGAGTTATTTTGAATCTTATATATTTTTTTTATATATAATTTATAGAATAAAAATAATGGTGTTGCTTCAATAAAAAAAAATTTCTAACCATAATGAACCTTTATAAACCTTTATAATTAGCTGAACCATAAATTTCTTCTCAAGAACCGTAACCAAAACGTAACCATTATAATTTTTTATATACTGAACCGTAACCAAACTGAACCGTTATAAATAACGGTTCGGGTCCCTGCTTAAATGTTCAACGAAATGCCATATTGCATTGAATAATTGTTGCAATAATTCGAATTTTTTAATATTTTTTAAAACAAAAAAGTTTTAACCTCATCCCTTTTCATTCATTATATGCCTTAATTTTATACTATTTACTTTTTTTTAAATTCTCTTTTTAAATCCCTTATTTTGGCCTTTTAATTATATGATGCCACAAAAAAAGAGAAGAAAAAGTAATATATTTTAATATTTTTTAAAACAAAAATGTCTTAACCTCATCCCTTTTCATTTATTATATGCCTTAATTTTATACTACAGGGTAAATTAATATAATAAAAGCAAAAAATTAAAAAGATTTAACCATGTTTTTTTATTTTTACATAATACTCAAAAAATAAATGACGATCAAATATATAATATATGACAAAACAGATTTAAAAAATGCATTAAAATATAAAAAATTGGATCATTTGATTTTCGTTTTTTCTTTATGTATTCCGATTTTCTTTATTCCTTTAAAATATATTTAAATTTAAATTATATTTTTATAAATTTACCTTAATCCAATGGTTGTCCTCGATAGCCACTTTCCAAATATTGATGCATCTTATTATAATAACTTGAAAAGTCATAAGGAATAGTAAATTCATTCAGAATTGATGTTACATTATGAACGATTTCGTTTCTTGTATTTGGTCGGGGATTGATTGACCTATATTTGTTTTTAATACCCCAAAAAATCTCTATTGGATTTAGTTGCGGCGAATAGGGTGGCAAATATTCTATTCGCTCTTTAAAACTATCAATGAGGTGACTTTTATGGATCGATGCATTGTCCATAACAATAACTGCATTACTTGGTATGATATTAATTAGTTCTATCATATATTCTCGAAATAGTAGGCTATTATAAGCTCCCTCGATGATGCGATAAAGTATCACACCGTCGATTCCCATAGTACACAATATACTTAAATTTTTACCCTTAGATGGTGAGACTTTAACAGTTGGCTTAACGTTGTATGGTGCCCAGGCGTAAACAGGTACAACATGTAAATTTATGCCTGTCTCGTCTAAGAAAAATATTTTTTCTCTGGCAATATTCAATATTTTTATACAATAAATTTGTCGTATATTGACTGTGCCCGGTGTGTTCCTCCTGTCAGGTTCCTTTCCTGCACGTTTTTTGGACCATCCTATTTTTTTAATATATTTCCTTATAGTTCCTTCATTTCTAGGAAATCCTGGAGGTAAATTTTCTATAATACCTTTAATAGTTAATGTATTGTTCGCCATTAAAAGTTCCATAATTTTTCTTTCCATATTGAATGTGTCTTTTTTTTTCCTGCCTCGCTTTCCAATCACATAATCTTTTAAAGGGTCTCTGATGATTTCGGGAAATGTTTCGCGTCTTAATTTATTAATAGACGATAAAGACATATCTAAATACTTAGCGATATCTTTCATTTTCATTTGCTCCTTCTCAGGTACAGATAATAATTTTTTTGCTATATCTATTTTTTCATTATTCCAGTTTTTATATTTCCTTCTCGGAAATGCCGAGATTAAATTTGCTGGATCAATAATAGAATTACCACTTAAAGAGGGAGAATTTATAATATGGAAATTATTTGTAGCAGATATATTAGGTAAATTAGAATAAACAGGATCAGGATTTGATGTAAATGAATTTGTATAATTTGTGTTACTACTATATAAAATTTGTCGTATATTAAACATTTGTGAATTAGAATAAAATGGATCAGGATTTGATGTATATGAATTTGTATTATTTGTGTTACTATATAAAATTTGTCGTATATTAAACATTTAAAAAAAATATTAAACTGTATTTTAAAAAAAAATTAAAGTATAGTAATATGCAAAAAAATTACATTAAAATTTTACCATATGTATTTTTGTAGTGTTTGTTTAGTTATATATTAATGAATCGTCATTTATTTTTTAAGTATTATGTAAAAATAAAGACATATTGTTTCATTCTTTTAACTTTCTGTTTTTATTATAATAACTTACCCTGTATTTACTTTTTTTAAAATTCTCTTTTTCTTTTTAAATCCCTTATTTTAGCCTTTTAATTATAAAGTGCAAAAAAGAGAAGAAAAAGTAATTATATTATTTTTTTTTTCATGGAGATTCGGAATATTTTTTAAATATTTAAAAAAAAGATCCCGAATAAAACGTGGGGATTCAAGATCTTGAATCCCCACGAATCCCACATGATTCCATATCCCAATACGACAAATATATTATTTAAACAAAGTTTTTTAAAATCACTATTTTTTATTCTTTTAGTTTATTAACCATTATAGTCAAACCGATAGCAATACTAAAACAAGAATAGAAGTTATAAAAAACTCAATATAATACTTTGAACCAAAACAAATATTTTGTTAATCTTAAGTTTTTAATGTTGGTTCCCAGCCCAATACTATAGTATAAATTAATTGCTTATATTTAGGGCTGTGCCGATCCATATATTTTTCACCGATCGGATCCGATATTGCTTCAAAACAGATCAGATACTGATACTGATCGATATTTATATTGATTTTTCACCACCCCCCTTTGAACCAAATGTAATTAAGAAATCAATATTTTTTTGCAAAAAATCATATGTATTTAATTTAATTTTTTTATTTCTACAATTAAGACTATAATTTAAAAAACATATATTTTATTATATATCCATGTTGGTATGAAATATAAAATTGCATTTAATATATAAAATTATAATATATTAGATTTTTTTAAATAAATACGAGAGCCTCTATGGCAATAAGCTTCTACGATATGGAGTATCTACCCCTGCCGTACTGAAGGTAAAGTTAGGTGATTCCCCAGATACATTTTGCAAAATTATCTTGTCTTTTGTAAAATATTTCCATAATTCAGATACCATATTTATAAATATTCTTTTATTTAAAGTATAAATAATAAAATTGGCGTTATTATTTAAAAAGATTTAAAATAATTAAAATTTTGGGTGTTCCTTTCTATTTTAGGCTGTGTCCAAAGTATCAAAAAAATTTAATCGCGCAATTTGCGCAAATCTAGCGAAAAAAAAATATAAGCCATTTTTAATGGAAAATTAAAATTTTGGCCTAAATCATTTTTTGGTATTTATAGAAATTTGAAAAAATCATTTAGGTCAACATTTTAATTTTCCATTAAAAATGGCTTATATTTTTTTTTTCGCTAGATTTGCGCGAATTGCGCGATTAAATTTTTTTGATACTTTGGACACAGCCTTAATAAAAGAAACTTTTAAAATACTATAAATCTATTTTAAAAAATAATAAAATATAGAGGGTGTTGTGCATTTGCATTGTTGAAAAAAAAATTATTTAGAAAATATTATAATGTAAAATAAATATACATAACATAAAATAAAAAAAAGTAAAAAGATCGGATTGGTTTTTACAGGCATCGGCCCGATCCGATTTAGAAAACGCCAAATATCGGTGCCGATCCAATCCGATATTTAATATCGACATAGCCTTACTTATATTTTAATTCCATGATTAAGCTTTTCAAAATATTATGGAAGAATATTATTAAGTAATGTTTAAAATAATGATATAAATTTATCTTTTTACCTTCAAATGCTTTTTTAAGTTTTAAAGCTGGACATTGAGGTTTATATTTTCAAAGTATAGACTTGGTACCATTAATTTTCTTTAATGGTTTAAATATATTTCAAATTGGGGCCAAGGAAGGGTTAAATCATCTTCATCTAAAGAAGTAAGTACTATGGACACAATATTCTTAAAATAAATTATAAGAATAATAATATTATTAACATTTACTTTGAATTTTGATTGAATATTAATTTCGACAGAAAATATAACAACGAAAATTTAAAATAAATATGAAGGAAGTGGTTGATATGAATTAAAATTCGGCTTAGATTATTTATATTAAGAATTAAAAAATAAATAAAAGTAATTTTATAATTGTGTTTTATTTTTATTGATATTTTTTAAGAAAAAATATAAAGTAACTAGTAACGTTTTGCTTTACCGCTACATATAAAGTAACGAGTAACATTTTGCTTTACCGTTACTCAAAAAAAGAAACGCGTTACAGTTACTTGTTACCTCTAGAAGAAGGTAACGAATGGCGTTCCTTTTCTTCAAAAAAGTAACGTCTTTAGTAACGATGTTAATTTTTTGACGTTACTTCACAGCACTACATTCTATACATTTAAAATTACATAAAATTAAAAAAATAAGCTACGAATTCTTATAAAATAAATGCCACCCCCGAAAATCCTTATAAATAGTTATCTGGCAACAAATGCCTTAATTTTATTAAATTAATTATGAACTTCATATTTTTTAAAGATAGCATGAATCCATGAAGATATTGGTATCGGATCGGCGCCTATACTAGACAAAAATATAGGATCGGCCTATACTTTTTTTTATAAATTTAACCGATACCGATTTTATAAATATTTTTATTTTTATTCATATTTTTTATATAATTTTGAACTAATTTTCCTTTCTCGTACTTAATCTTCATAACTCCGATAAAAAGGTGTGAGGCGCCACTTATAAAATAAAAATGCTTAATGTTTAACCACAAAATTTGTTAATTTTTATTTTTCTATTGTTTATTCCATTGTTTTTATTAAGAAAAAAATAGTGGTAAATAAAAATTATGCGAATTTAAATTTGATTTAAGAAAGATATCAATATTTTATCTCCTATCGATATTGATTATTTAGAGGTTTAATCAGTGGCGCACTGAGAGGATAAAGGCTCCATTGGACCTTTTTAAATAGGCTAGTTAGAGGGCTTTGCCCCAAACCCCTTAAGCGGGACTACGGCCCAATTTTACATGGCCTGTTGCCGGGAATTATATGATTTTATTGGAAATCAACTCCACTTTAAAATTTAAAAGAATTACTCGTTCTCTGAGTTTGAATACATTATTCTTCAAGTTAATTTATAAAATTTTTTGTTCATAATTATTATTTCATTCATTTAATAACCTCAGATAATCTACTTTTAATAAAGAAATCATTTAAAATAATATTCCCATATTTTGTATGTATTAGGGTTAATTTTATAGTATAATTCTTATTTTTTCATGGAATATATTGATTAAATCTTTTTTGTTTTATATATATTTTCTTTATTTTATATTTATATGATAGGGGACTGCCTTTCGCAAATAACGGGGAATAATAAATGGTGGGGAATCAAAGATTGTAATATCTCTATGAATGATTAGAAAGTTGAGGGGTAATTAGTTTGTGTATATGGTACAAAATATACTTTATTAATATATTTTATAAAAATATTAAAATTTAGGCGAAAAGAGGTAAATTTGTGAATCACACCTTTAAGATATTCTTAATTTCTGATTCATCTATCATCGAATAAGGGAGAAAAGTATGATGACCCGTCTTTCTTGAAGGGCAAAATGGAAAATATATAACTAAGACTAAGAGTACCAGAGCTCCCGTTAGTCAGCATTGCTGAGTCCGTCAAAAATGACGGGGAATGAGAATTTTCTCCTTACTCTTATGATAGTTTTACCTGTTATTTGAAAATAATATCCAATTTTTATTCTTTATAACCCCCTCCCACCTTCAGATCAGGTCCAATCATTAAAAGGAAGTTTAAATGCTATGTTTTTAGTCAAAATGTATTTAAAGCTTTTACTTGATACCCATATCAATATTATTATTTTAAAATATAAAAAGTATGCCGAATAAATTTTAAATCAAATTGTTTAATCAGTCAAAATATTTTAAATCAACTAATTCACAAAATATCTTTATTTAAAATAATTTATTTACAAAATATCTTTATTTAAAATAATTTAATCAGTAAAAATCAACTAATTTACCAAAATATCTTTATTTAATTTAAAAAAAACTAATAATAATTTTTATAAAATCTTTCTTTTTATATCCGCAAAAATTAGAATATCAGATATATAAACAATTATCATACTATATAAAAATAAACTTTCAAAGAATATCATAATATATAAAAAAATTAACTTTTCAATAAATATTTTCATAATACATAAAAATAACATTAACAATTCAGCTCCGTGAAGTTGACCGAACATTTGGAAGCACTAACGATGAATCATATGTCATTTTTTAGTGCTTCGTTAGTGCTTATTAGTGCTTCAATCCGTATAGTTGCCGAATTTAAGGGTAAAAAGTTATAGGCAAAAATAAAAATTTGTGCCAACTTCACGCTTAAAAGTCGATTGGAAGCACTAACGATGAAACTTATATCATTCTTTAGTGCTTCGTTAGTAGAGGTTAGTGTTTCAATCCATGTAGCCGAATTTATGAACAAAAAGTTATTGGCGAAAAAAACAAAAATAAACAAATATTGGCGACGTGCCAAAACAAAAACTAGAGTAGTACTAAACATCCGGTTTTCGCCATTATTTAGTGCTTAATTAATGTATTTAAATTCCATTATTAATTTAGTTAACCGCCATATGGAAAAAAAGTTATTAGCTAAATAAAAACTATGACGTCACGATTTAGGCGTGAAGTTGGCCGATGAAGCACTAACGATGAAACTTATATCATTCTTTAGTGCTAGGTTAGTAGAGGTTAGTG